GTCTCTTTGAATACCTATCTTCACTCTTTGAAAGACTGATTTCTCCAGTGCTATCCTTCTTTTACCATCTTTCTTCCCTTTTTGTCCATGCTAGGTATTTTGAAGATCTGGCATGGTTCATGATGGAGAAATCCATGTGAAAACTAATGTCAAATAGATTTAGAATATGTTTGTAAAGTTTTTAATTTTTTTTGGCGTAATGACAATGACCATATTTATTATTTATAAAATTCTTCCCAGAAAGTTAAAGAGAAAAATCCATTTTTTATTTCAATAAAACCTTCAAGTACCTTTTAATATCTAAAGAATAATTATTTAAAATAAAACTGCTGCATAAAGTTGAAACTAAGATGCCAACCAACTAAAAGAAATATTGGGTAAAACTGTGTTTAAGGTATTCTATTCAACAATCTTAAACGGTAGTTCCTAAATGATACAGGTTTCAAAGAAACTTTTTTTCTTTTTGGAGAGGTTTTTGCTATAGGATATGTGTGCTTGCCAGAAAGACAGAGAGAGACAGAGAGACAGAAAGCAAGAAATCACGGGTGGGGGGGATGGCAATGTTGCAACCCCTTCTCCTCCATTCTCCTCTTGAGATCTTGGGCACACACGCATACATGCCTGGCGTGAGTTTAAGCCACCGGGTCAGGGATTCGAACCATGGTCGACTACATGGGAGTACAGCAACATAGCCATTACGCCAACTGCTGGTTCCGCAAGGAAACATTTTCAGAAGTCCAAAGAAGAGTTTTTAGAAGCTCCTTGAAAATTCAGGTTAGGCTTAAGGTTAGAGATTAGGGTTAGAGTTAAGAAACAAAAGCTCACTTAAAGTAGTAATTTTTATTTTCAGAAATAAGTGCATTGGCAATTATTTAAAGCTTTAAACTTATAAACATATTTTTTAAATTATGGACAATGATTCTATGTAGCTATCTGATAAAATATATAAAACCAATTTTATGAATTTGAAGATAAAAAGTGAATTTCTAACAGTTCTGAGTCTAAGCCTTGGTAATTCATACAGAAGAAACATTTTCTGGAAGTCATGATGTCAAACTTTACAGGAAGCTCAAATGCAGGTTTTTTCCCTTTATTGGTAAGTGATGAGAAAATTTAATAATTAAAACTAGCTAATCTAATATTTGGCCGTCTGAATGGCTTTTTATACAGCCAGTAGTCATTTGAATGTAAATAGGTTTGATAACAGCCTCTCCCAGCTTTTGCCTTCTTTCTACCTTTGTGGAAACATCCTCCTCTTTACACAAACAATTCCCCCACCCCAGTGAAAAACTCTAAACCTTAAGGGAAGATTGGTTCTTGTCTATGCTTAAAATCCTAAAAATAATTATTTATTTTACAATAAAATTTCAGCATGGATTAATTTCACTGTAAATTTATAGGCTTCATTCAATTAGGGCCTTTTTACCTAAAATAGACAACATCAAATATGGAAACACCATATAATAATAAATTATATCTAAGATGTTAAATATATTAAAATATTTTAATACATTACCTACTAAGGACTTGATCTATTTTAATATTGAGAAAATTATGTAACTTTAATAGTGTGGAAATTTTGAGAAGTCATTATTTTAAAATTTAGGTTATAAGAACTCCTTTAAAGAAAAAAAAATGAAATAATTACCCATTAATTAAAATACTGACAAAATTAGTATTTTTGTTGTTGATCAAGAGCTGTAAAATAGGCTAAGTTATTAATCCACGCTTTGTATAAGTCAGATTCCCCAAAATATTTTACTAATTTTAAAAAAAGCTGGTAAACCTGAAGACTTTATTATAATTTGAATTCTTTTTGTAGTTCAACAGTATTGGAATATCCCATTGAGTCCTTATCCCTTAGTCCTTATATCATTAGTATCTCTGCTCAGGTAAAATGACAATTAAAAAAAAAAACATATACACATCAGTATTTATTCTAGTGTAGCTATTCTCTACAAAGCAATGTGTACAAAATGAGGACTCTACATTAACAACAGAAAAAGACGATCGTATGTTATTCTACAACAATTTCAACATGCATTGTTATAAAGTCACAGTTCAAGGGAAGAATATGTATTTTTAGATTACAATCTTAATCACGAAGTTTAAATCACATTGAAGACTGAGGCATGAGGCTCAGAAGAGTCTTGTTCCTTCATTGTTCTACGTGCAGAAGCTGATGATCTTTATCAAATAACCTTCTGATTGTAAACCATTTGAATGTGTTATTTAACTTAGTGGCTGCTCTTTGATTTGATAACGAGTGAAAGCAGATGGGGATTGGTACCACATGCTTCGGGTAGCAACTAGACTGATGTAATTTTTGGAGGGACAAAGGAGTGTGGTTTTTCATAAAAACTTTTGACTCATTTCATAGAGGTAAACATACGTAAACGCTAAAAACCTGAACTCTTCAAATAAATGAAGACCTACCTTGACTTCACAATAAGCCTCTGTTCATTTCCATGAGACAATGTTTTCACAAAATATAAGGCAA